CTTCGAACGTGCTTACGGCCACCTCCCCACTCCCCCAGCTCAGAGTCAGGCTCCGCCAATGTTAAACTCGCTGAGAAGCTACCCTGCATGGAGGGCAGTGTATAAGTGCAAGTTGTTGTTGTTGTCTCAAAGTGCCTCAAAGAATTTACTGTGAAATGTAGTGACTGTGTATTTGTAGGCAAACATAGTAGCACCATTGAGCACAGCGATGTCCCACATTTAAAGTAATTATGTTTCTATGGTGTCAGTCGGAAGTACTCTCACCTCTGAGTCAGAACGGTTCAAACCCCACCCCACTCTCTGCTGAAGACCTTGCTTTTCGACCGCGCCTTTGGTCATCTTCCCCCCCCTCCCCCTGGCTCGGTACCGGGATCCGAAACTGTACAGCACTCTGAGACGCCATCTGGCGTGGAGGGCGCTATATAAATCCAAGTTGTTGTTGTTGAACTCCCAGTCTAGAGGCTGACACTCCAATGCAATGCTGGGAGAGCATTGCATTGTCAGAGGTGCCGTCCTTCGGATAAGACATTAAACTGATGTCCTGTTCAGGTGGACTTTAAAGATTCCATGACACTACTCAAAAAGAGAAGGGAGTTTCTCCCGTGTCCTGGCCAACAATTCCCCAGATAAAATAAGTCCTTCAATTGGCTTCTGGATTCACCTACAAAAATATACAGCCAGATTTACTTTACAGTAAATCCTGTGCAGCGCTTTGAGATGTCCGCCCCGCATGCAAGGCAGCCATATCAAATGCAAGGATTATTATAATAAACTTTCATCAGAAACAAAGCAACAACAACTTGCATTTATATAGCGCCCCTCGCACAGGTAGCATCTCAGAGCGTTTACAAAAGAACTCATCCTGTTAGGTTCAGCTTATCCAATTCTGACCAAGTGAAAGATTATCAGTCTGGTAGAGATTGTGGACAGATAGCGGAACTGAAGGGTGACCCTAGCAATTGTCAGAAGGACTTGGGATAAATGCTGGAGCGTGGAAAGATGCAAATAACAAGAGGAAGCAAGCTGATTGACAGAATGTTAACTGGGTGTCTGTATCAAAACCGCAAACATTTTGATTGGAGAGCGCAATTGGCAGAGCAAACACTGGCATGATACAGTCAATAAAGAGGCAGGCAACGGTGCGGCAAAGGAGTGGCAAGGGCAGGCAAGAACCCGGCAAAGGACAAATTGTCAGGAGAGAAATAAGCAGGTATTTTGCCCAAGCATCTGGCACCTGCGTGCCCACCAGTCTCGGCAGATACTGAGTTCAAGTCCAAGTAGTAATAGGGGGGCTATGTGTGGTTTTCGTAAAGCTGATTTCTTTCAACACAAAGAATTGCAAATAATAACCAGCTGCAAAACAAATTGCAAATAATATATACATATAATGATAGTAATAATAATCCTTGCATTTGATACAGCTCCTTATCACGTCAAAGCGCTTCACAGAATATACCGTAAAGTGGGAACAATTGTTTTTGTGGAGGGATTATTATCCCCCAGAAAGCAATCCGCCAATTGACTAACAACCGTGTTCCTACTTACTGCGAGGTAAACAGAGGCGTGTGGAATAAGGAAACTTGCCTAAGGTTTCGCTCCTCTCGGGAATCGAACCCGAGTCCTCTCGCTTGCGAGGCGAGTGCACTAACCACTATGCTACGGGACCGCACTCCATATATCAATCCAACATTATAGCACAATTGTATGGCTCTATATTTTTCTAGGTGACATCTTACGGCCCCATAAACCTCTTCAAAACAATAATGAACAGTTTGAACAGCAAGGAGTGGAAGTCTGGTTCCTGTTAATTACTCAGAATCAGGAGATAGCCAGAGGCAGCTCAAGTTGCATGAACAGCAAGTCTTGAAAACATGGAAAGGAAAAAAAATCAAGTGGAACGAAAGTAGACAACAGAGAGTGGAAGAGGTGTGGGGGGGGTGGAGAGGCACATATTCATTTAAATCCTAGGAGCTCGGGTTTGATTTGATTTATGCCTAGAAGGTGCATGGAAGTAAACTATTTCAAACCTCACCAAAAAAGGGTTTGTTTAAGTGGATCGAAATGAGGTGATATGGAAGAGCTCTCCTCGACAGGATGTCCCGCCCTAGACATGATGTAAGGTTAGGAAAAAGGGGTTACTGCCGGTCAGGCTGAATTGGGCTTTAAGCCAGCGACGAGAATGCACAAAATGCAAAGAGCACAATATGCCTTTTCATGGAAGGAACAAAATAAATGACACTGCATTGATTACATCCCCCCTTCTTTCTCTCTCTCTCTCTCACTCACATACACACACTCACTCTTTCTTCCTCCTCTTTTCCTGGTTGTTAACAAATGCAACTTAAAACCTCAGAGACGAAGCAAATGAACTAAGGTTATTCTAATCCAGGGAGACAGGGTTTTCCAGAGGTTGCTTTATCTGCCCGTTTGATCGTGAACTACAGTGTACAAAAATGTAATGATTCATTTTTTAATTTAAATATCTCACTGAGATTGTTGCTCACTGATAAAATGACAACTCACTAATTTCTACCAGCAGTCAAAACTTTTTTTTATAATTAACAAAAAAAGCATTAATCGCTACAATTATCCTCCTTGACTATTTTACTCTTAATGACCGCTACATGGTATGAAACACGCCCTTTGCGATTATAGGTTCCTACAATATAAAGTATAAACTTTGCATTTTTGATATTGAGCCTTATCACATCATTGAGAATTCACAGCATATAACATAAAGCGGATTGACTGTATATTTTGTGGGCGAAACGCGGCAGCCAATTGCGCACAGCAGTGTCCCACAAACAGTCGTGGATTGAGTGACCAAATTATTATGTATTAAATTATATACTTATATAAAGTAACTTGCCGTTAGTTAAAAGAGAGAAATGGGGGTGAATCTATCAATCCTGGGAGTGCAAGTGCCTGAACACTGAGGCAAGTTTGTGTCTGGCTAGTACTCTATAATAGTTCAGATGTCAGACAAAAAAATGTTACAGATTTCAACAAACAAAAAAATTACTTTTTGGGATCGGAGAGGGGAAAGAATAATTCTTTCACCTCCCAGGGTTGAGAATGGGCTTGATTGCAAGGGTGAGGTATGATAAATTTTCTGTGGGGGAGCAGAAGTGTGTAACTTAAATTTTTTTATTTTTTAAAAAAAAATAAAATTATTTAAAAACAAACATGTTTAAATTCAGTTAACCCTTACCCACCCTTCAGTGTTGCGTTAAAGTGGCTTCCCAGGACCCCATCGTTCTTTTAAAAATATGAATACACGCACATATATATATATAGTGTTATAAGAAGAATATAAAGACGTGATAAGACGCTGTATCAAATGCCAGGATTATTAGTATAAAGTGTTGAGACAATGACCTATATTGGTTGTGGTTAGGTTACTGTAGGACAATGACTCGCAACCTCAGGTGATGTTTGCTTCAGCCTGGGAATTGCAGTTACGTCACCAACAAAAAAAAAATGAGTCGGGAGAAACACACCACTAGCTTCTTTCTCTTGCAAAACGATTGCAAAACAAAACAGGGTTGGGGTTGGGTGGGGGCGGATGGGAGATGACAACCTTTTAAAATTGCAATACATTGTAAAGGTTAAACCCCCCCCCCCCCACAACCCTTTAATTTTTCTTCCGAAATAGGGATAAAACAAAAAAAATAAATACACGAATGCACAAATACAAAATATAGACAGCACACAATGAATTCAAAAATCAATAATAATAATCCTTGCATTTGATAAAGCGCCTTATCGCGTCTCCAAGACATCTCGCAGCGCTTCGCGGAACATACTGTTAAAAGTAAATCGACGGCACGTTTAGCGCGCGGGTGGTGGTGGTGGTGGTGGTGGTGGTGGTGGGGGGGGTGGATGAAACACGGCGGCGTATGGCACCCAGCCTCGCGCTCTTTAAGTTTGCAACTCGGCAGATACGTTTCGACTGCGAGTGTTACGGGCGGACGGCGCGGACCAAAAAAAAAAAAAACCTCGGCCAACATGGACTGCATTTCAGAAAGAAATTGCATGGAAGGGAAAGAAAGAGAGAGCCAGAAATGTGTGTGATGTGTGATGTGATGTGTGTGTGTGTGTGTAAGAAGCGTTAACATGCCACCAAAGTGGAGCCAATCCGTGCTGGGGTGTGGTGGTACCAAGCTGAGCCAGACCAATGACTGAGGCGATGTCTGTCTTCCGAAAAATATCACCAGGTCGTTTTATTGATCATCACCGACATCAGAGGGGGAAGAGAGAGAGAGAAGAGAGAGAGAGAGGGAAGGAAGGGGGTGGTGGTGGTGTGGGGGGGTAAAGAGAAAAAGAGAGAAAAAGGGAGAGACAGAAAAACACACACACACAGAGAGAGAGAGATTTCACTGAACACAGCAGTTAGTTGTTGTGTTTTTTTTTGCATTGCATCAGGAGGTGCCATTGCTCTCAGTGCATTTGCTGCAGCAGTAATTTTCCTTTCCAGCAGTGCAACTGTCGGGATATTTTTTTTTGTGTGTGTGTGTGTGTGTGTTACTGCATTGGTTTTTCTTTGCTTTTTTTTTAAAAAAAAGGGAGGGAGGGAGTTTTTTTTTGGCGGGGGGGGGGAATTATTGATGTGATTGCTGCAGAGAGAGAGAAAGAGAGATAGAAAGAAAGAAAGAAAAAGAGAGAGAAGGGGGGGAGAGAGAAAGAAAGAGAAAGAGAAGAGAGAGGGGGGGGAGAGAGAGAAAGAGAAAGAGAGGAGGGGGGAGAGAAAGAAAGAGAAGAGAGAGGAGGGGAGAGAAAGAAAGAGAAGAGAAAGAGAGGAGGGGGGAGAGAAAGAAAGAGAGGAGAGAGGGGGGAGAGAAAGAGAAAGAGAGGAGGGGGGGGAGAGAGAAAGAAAAAGAGAAGAGAGGGGGGAGAGAAGAGAAAAAAAAACCTTGCACTCTCTCTCTCTCTTTTATTTCCTCCACCACCACCAACAAGCCGCCCCCCCCCCACCCCGAACCCTCCACCCCGAACCCTCCCTCCCTCCCTCCCCTCCTCCTCCAGTGGAGAGAGACCGTGAGGAGAAAGGGAACACGCGTGTGAAGTGACAGAGACGCATCGACCAGAGAGGCAGCAACATGAGCGCTGCGGCCGCTGCCCTGTCCGACGGCGCGACCTCGCGGAGCTCCGCCGCCGTCGTCGTCGCCGCCGCCGCTGCCGCCACTGCCACCGCCGCCGTCGACCAACCCCAACCCCAACCCCCCGACGACTTCGTGGACGACCGGCCCCCGGTGGATGATATCTTCGACAGCACCTACAGGGAGAAGCAGGGCGCCAAGCCCCCCATGAGGCTCGTGTGGAGGAACATCGTCATGATGAGTCTGCTCCATCTGTCCGCCGCCTACGCCGTTTTCCTCGTGCCTTTCGCCAGCCTCCCGACCCTGCTCTGGGGTGAGCTCTCTTTGGGGTTTTTTTTTCTTTGCTTTATTATTATTATTATTATTATTATTGTTATTTTATTTTTTTTACGTTCCCTCCCTTCCCTTCCCCCTCTCCTCCTTCCTTCCTTCCTTCCTTTCTTTTTCTCTCCTCTTTCTCACTCTCTCTCCCTTCCTCTTTCTCCCCATCTCTCCCTCTTTCTCCCCATCTCTCCCTCTTTCTCCCCATCTCTCCCTCTTTCTCCCCATCTCTCCCTCTTTCTCCCCATCTCTCTTTCTCCCCTTCCCTCTTTCTCCCCATCTCTCCGTCTTTCTCCCCATCTCTCCGTCTTTCTCCCCATCTCTCCCTCTTTCTCCCCATCTCTCCCTCTTTCTCCCCATCCCTCCCTCTCTCCCTCCCTCTTTCTCCCTCTTTTCCCTCTCTCCCTCCCTTTCACCCTCTCTCTCTCCCTCCCTTCCTCTTTCTCCCTCTCTCCTTCTTTCTCCCCCTCTCTCCCTCTTTTCCCTCTCTCCCTCCCTTTCACCTTCTCTTTCTCCCCCCTCTCCCTCCCTCCCTCTTTCTCCCCCCTCTCCCTCCCTCCCTCTTTCTCCCCATCTCTCCTTTCCTCTCTCTTTCTCCCCATCTCTCCCTTCCTCCCTCTTTCTCTCCCTCTCTCCCTCCCTTTCCCCCTCTCTCTCTTTCTCCCCCTCCCTCCCTCCCTCCCTCCCTCTTTCTCCCCCTCTCTCCCTCCCTCTCCCATTCTCTCTCTCCCTCTCTTCCATGTCCACATAAATAAATGCAGTCCCATTATTTGGACACACGCACATACAATCGTGTGGGTGTGTATCAACACTTAAAATATTTATAGATGGCCACAGTGTACAAAGATAAATATTTATGCACTATACACGTACACGATTTTTTTTCTTTGTATATGCATAGTACATACGTGTTTATATTTATGTATCATAGTCTCTATAATAAAGCTCTTTTCTTGCATTTGTTTTGTTTTAAGTGGGAAAGGAAGAAAATCTACCTGCAAAGGGAAATAAATATCTTTATATACAATGTACAGATCTGGGGTTTGAAAACCCTTTAAATCTGCAATCCTACATCTATATCTATATATATATATGTGAATAATTTGATTTATTTTAATATAATGCTGCAAAAAAAACAACACAGCTCTTCCTTCCCCTGTCAATTCCTGTGCTCGAGCGAAGGCCATGGATTTGCTCTCTTTTGGTGCGAAATACTGTATCGAAACGAGTCACTGTATCAACGCCTTCTTTGAAATTTACATATCATGTCATTTCAATCTTGTTTTTTTTTAAAAAAAAGAGAGAGAAAATCTGCAACCCAGAAAAACTAGAAGCCGGTGATTTTTTTGGGTGGGTCCACAGCTTCTGTTAGATCTGACACACATTTGTGCTTGTGTTTGTTGGGGTGTGTGGTGGGGGGTGTGGGGATTAGAAATGAGAATTGCACTGGGATCTGAGATATAATGTAACCTTTGTGTGTGTTGCAGCCACTGTCTATTTCTTTCTGAGTGCCCTGGGAGTGACTGCTGGAGCTCACAGACTGTGGAGTCACAGGTCTTATCGAGCCACTCTGCCCCTTCGTGTGTTCCTGGCTGTTGCCAATTCCATGGCTTTTCAGGTAAGGGAGGGGAGAGGAGGGAATTTGACTGGGAATGTTATTCTGGTGGTGGGGGGGGGGGAATGGTGCAACAGGATGCAGCTCAATGCAGTGATCTCTCAAGCAGAAACCTACCTCATTGTCCTCTTTCTCTCCCTTAATATGTTTTTTTTTAAAACTGCGACTCCTAATGCCAAACCAATGTACTGACGTGTGGCGTTGCTTTATTATTCAGAGGCAGAGAGGGGGCTGGAGGGGCAGAGAGAAAAACATAACAAGTGTCTCAAGCTCCCTGTGGAACTCCCCATCGCGGAGCTATTCCGCCTCACCCCTCCCTTGCCTCTCTTTCAGTGGCCGTCTCAAGACCTTTCTTTTCAACCGTGCCTTCACTCAGTCATCTTCCCTCCTCCACCGTGCCCCCCCACCATCCTCTCCCTCCACCCCTCTCTGATCCCAATCCGCAGCTCGGGTGCAAAACCCTCATTGTCCAGCTCCTTGGGTCCAGCCCTCATTCTCCGTCTCCCGACCTGATACGAGCTATATTAGATACAATTTATGGTTGGTGTAAAATACAAGGTATTAATTAATAACTGAAAAAATCCTTAATTGGGTCCTAATGCCTTTCCCGTCCAGACGATGTCTCAAAGCACTTCACGGGATTCACAGTGAAGTGGAGCAACTGTGTATTTTTTAGGCGAACGTGACAGTCAATTTGCGCACAGCCAAGACCAACTTGTTCTCTGTGGGATTGTGACCAGGAGACCCAACGATGGGAACAGGGTGCAGGGTTTAACATCTTGCCCATTGTCAGAGGTGAGGGACGGTACCTCCGACAATGGAGGTCCCCTCCCCCCCCCCCCCCCCGAAAACACTGCATTGGAGTCAGTCTAGACTGAGTTCACGACCTTCAGTCTCGGAATGATATCCCCCCCGGAATACAACACAGGTCCTCTTCCTCCCGAGGCGAGTGGTCTAACCAATCTACAGTTTCTCCAACCTGCCCCTTCTACTCCTGACCTGTTCCCATGCTCCAATTGTCACTGAGCAAGTGCCCTTGACTGCATCGCATTAAGGTCAGGAGATTGTAACTTCAACGTAAAAGAAACATCTCAAAGTGCTCTACAGCACAAGATCACTCGGAAACGAAGTGAATGTTGTTTTGGAGACGGATTTGGTTTGTGGCCAACAACATCCCATGAACAGCAATGAGAGACGATCAGCCAATTTGTGGCAGTTTTCAGGGTGAATTTGGCCGAGGTAGAGTATGAGTTAAGTTAACCGTGAGGGAAGCTCCACGTTGTTTGGACTTGTCCCCCCACCCCCTCACCCGCCCCATCCTTCTCAAGGAGATATCACATAATGTTTGCCAGGACCTTATACAAGTAGCAATCTCTATGTGAGCCTGAAATTACACCGAGCCTTGGCCTGTACATTCCCTTTTATCTTAAAAGAACTGTGCCAATTTCTTCAATCCAGTCTTGCTTTTGGAAGCCAGCTTGGTGCAGTTCTTGAAAATAGCTAGCTTCCAAATTAGTAATAAGAATAAACCTTGCGTTTGATATAGTACCTTAATATATTGTTGAGACGTCCCAAAGCACCTCACAGAATATACTGTAAAGTGGAGTGACTGTATTTTGTGGGTGAAATATGGCAGCCAATTGCGCACAGCAATGTCCCACACACAGTCATGGATTGAGTGATTATAACCCCTGGAAAGCGATCCGCCAATCAACTTAACTACTGGGTTCCTACTTGCTGCTAGGTAAACAGATGTGTGGAGTAAGGAAACTTGCCTGAGGTTGCTCCCCACTCGGGAATGGAACCTGGGTCCATTCACTTGGGAGGCGAGCGTGCAAATCATTACACTACGGGATCCAAATTAAGACTGAATTGAAGAGTTTTTCACAGCTCTTTAAGACAAATTGGAATTGTAGGTTAAGACTCGGTGGTATTTCAGACCTCTGATGTCCACACATATTGCTGGACAGAAGTAATCCTGGCTGATTGTTATCTTCCAAAGCCACATTTCACCTCCATTACTGCCCTGACTGACACCAGCTAAGTCAGTACAGAGTTGAGAGATTTAATCTTGGATTCCCGTTTGCAGTTTTGCTAACTCAGTCTTTGTGAGGAAGTTGGGTTTGTAAACAATTATCACCACATACAGCACCCACTGAAAGAGATGTGCAAGACATTGTATCCTTGTGGAGATAGGGAATGTGTTGCCTAATTTTATCTATGAATTTTAAGGTTCAAGAGGTCAAAATGTTCTGCCAATTACAGTATCAAGGTTCAAATCATCTGAGATCACAGTGACCATTCTCTGGTCAGTGAGTCCCAATTGAACAGAAAATTGCAGACCCATTTCTTAGTGGGCGAGGACCCTGAGGTTTTACAATTCCACCCAGTCTTAGCGGTAAACACACTTGTACTTGCTTTTCTGATATTATGGCAGAAGAACAGATGTCAGCCCGGCTCAGTTGGTAGCACTCTCCTGAGTTGAAAGGTTGTGGTTTCGGGCCCAATATCTAGCTCACAGTCTAGGCTGATGCTCCAATGCAATGCTGAGGGAGTGCTGCATTATCACAGGAGTATTCCTTCAGATGAGATGTTTAATTGAGGTCTTGTCTGCCTGTTCGGGTGGACGTTAGGATCCCGTGGCACTATTCGACAAGAAAAGGGAGTTTCTCCTAGTGTCCTAGTCAACAGCCCTCCAGATAATAATCGCCCACTGAATACGTGGCCATTTGAGGGAAATTGCTGTGTGCAAATACACAGTCGCTACCCTTTACAGTAAATCCTGTGAAGGACTTAGACGTCTCGAGGACGTGATAAGTTGCAATATCGAATGTAAGGATTATTATCAAAACTTCTCAATTTTGAAAATCTCTAGATTTCACCTCCCCCATAACAAATTGGTTTTATGTAGGGCCTTTCAAACAAGATAATGGCTCAAAGCACATCAAAGTGATTAGCTTCCCAAAAACACATCAACATTCATTACCTCTCCACAATAACTCTTAAGCTTTCATCTCTAAAGCTAGCCTCATCCTATTAACATATTAATTTAAGTATTTGTGTATAATCACATTACAATCTCAAATGCGGTTTCCCTGCGTTTATAAAATAAGGGACAATAATTTCTTGTGTGTCTGCACAGAATAACAGATCAGGAGTGATTTCAGATGTGTGGGAGCTGCTCTCAGTAGTTATGGTTTTGTGTAGCTTTATCGTTCTACGTGCGATGCTGCCATGCAATTAACTTGCGCTCACATAAGATCAGGATTCAAAGGATATCAAGGCTCCGTGACTGTGACCGTAATGACATATTTTATTCTGCAGTTAATTATTTGCTCTTTTGGTCTCTCTCTTTCCGTCTCGTTGCTTTCCTTAGATGTTGCATTTATAGAGCTCGACAATCATATACTCACAAACCAGAAATCGTAATAACACAAACAGATCTGCAGATTTGGATCCACCATTCCTGGGTCAGGGTCAGCCTGGTGCAGTGGTAGCACTCTTGCCTCTGACTCAGAAGGTTGTGGGTTCATGCCACACATCAGGACTTAATCCTCAATATCAGAAATGTACCAAAATGATATTTTCATTTCCCCAAATGCCAGTCACTCTTCCATCCCCACTAATTAATGCACATTTTAGCTCAGTGCCTCTTTGTGCATTCTGTGTGCCTTTGATAATAACAATAATAATCTTTGTATTTGATATAGCACCTTTGTCACATCATTGAGGCATCCCAAAACTCTTTACAGAATATATAGTAATGTGGATTGACTGTTATTTTGTGGGAGAAAGGCGGCAGCCAATTGCACACAGCTGTACTGGGTGGAACCTCTAGGCGGAGGTTGGTGGGAAAATAGCACTCTCTGCCGGAAGCTGCGGTTGAAAGAGAAAGTACTTAAGAGCCAAAGAGAGGGAGACGGGACTGAGGAGCTGTGGGAGCGAGGATAAATTTGGGCGGGGGCTCATATTGATTGTAAAGGATTAGCTCAGCTGTTTCCTGGTGGTTGTGCTCTGTGTAATTCTATGTCATTTAGACCCGCCACAGCATGCATGTCTTTACTTGACCTGGATTTGGATTTTTTGAGTGTCAAAATCTTTTGTGTTCGATAAGCTTCAAAGCTTCTGTTGGTTTTCAAAATATTGCATGAAAACCAGCTCCCAAATTAAGATTTAAGGAGTTAAGCATTTTCCAAACTTCTGCACAGCGTTACATTTTAAGGCATCGGTCTTAAGGCTGTAACCATGTGGATTTACAGGCCTCTGGTTCCCCCACAGTAAAGCTTCCCTGATCAACACGTGTCCATGTAATGCTTGGAGCATTGAATACATGTGTGTCAAGAGTGTCTCAATGATGCATAGAGCAAGGGGGTGGTGCACAGAGCAATGGGAAGATATAGGGTATGTGTGTGGGGGGGGTGGGGGCGAAGGTAGTTCATTGAAATGACAAGCGACTGATCAGTGTACACGGTTTTGCCCAAAAGCCTCGCTCCTACAACAACAAACTACATTGAGTAATGCCTTTGATGTCCCAAGACACAGGACAGTCAAAAATTTGTACCTGAGCTGGGAGTTAGCATCAGGAGGGCAGAGATGGTGGGGGTGGGAGTGTGCCCCACGGCCCGTTCGAAGAGGTCAAAGAGACGGCCCTTGAAGGAGGGAAGGGAGGGGGCGAGGCAAAGTGTCTGTGGGATGGAATTCAAGAGGGTGGGAGCAGAAAGGCTAAAGGCCCGATTGCTGTTGGTGGGGTGGTCTGGGCTGGGGGTGGGACGTGGAGCAGGCCAGAGTGGAAGTAGTGGACAGGCCAGTATGGAGCTAGCAGGTCACAGAGGGAGGGAGAAGCAAGACCGTGCTAACCCTCTTGGTATCTGTCCTTTCAGAATCATATTTTCGAATGGGCCCGGGACCACAGGGTCCATCACAAGTTCTCCGAGACAGACGCCGACCCTCATAACGCCTCTCGTGGGTTTTTCTTCTCTCATGTGGGATGGCTCATGGTCCGCAAGCACCCAGATGTGATCGAGAAGGGCCGAAAACTGGACCTGAGGGATCTGAAAGCCGATCCGGTCATCATGTTTCAAAAAAAGTTAGTGCCTGTCTGCTCCCCTTGTCTTGTCTTTCAGCGATGAAAACAGCAACTTGACCTCTGACTCTCATGGTAAACTACTATCCTCCTGGGGGTGGTGACGGGGTGGAGGTGGGGAGGTAAGCAGGGTTTCCTAGGAGCTGAACTGGCTCCAAGTTGGCACATTTGGAATGTCATAATCTAGCCAGCCCTCCAGTCCGGTTCTTGAACCAGGCGGGTCCGCTATATTCCAGGGCACTGCTGATGACAGCACAGCCCAGCCTGACTCATTGGTAAACTCAGTCTACAGAGACACACAGGCCTGTGTTACAGTGAAGTCTGTCTGTCATCGGCCAAAGGTTCATGAATTTGCCAAATGTTGGTGCCGATTTGAATGTGTCAGTGTCCGAGACGAGCTGCAGAGCGTGGTGGGGGTGGGAACGACCCGGAGGGTGGATCTGAACTTGGATTTGCTTCCTCGAGAGTTGGTATGGAGGAGGGGAGGGAGGGGGGGAATCGGAGCCGGAGGTAGGAACGGGGCTAGAAGCTCCCATGCCGCTTGCGAGGCCATTCCAATCTCAGAACATCAGGGAAACGAAAATCTGCGTGCGAGATGTAGGTGATTAAAGTCACCTGCTCTTAGCCACAACACTGTGGTCTTGAAATTCAAGATCGGGCAGAAATCTTCAAAAAGTTTTTTAGTCTGGTTTCCTTTTTAAGAAACTCCCTTTCAAGTTAATAATAATAGTAATGAAGAATAATCCTTGCCTTTGATACATAGCTTTATCACATTGGACTCAAAACGCTTCACAGAATAGATTGTAAAGTGAATTGGTTGTATATTAACGCTGTGTATTAAGGCTGAATTTAAGAGCTTTCCAAAAGGCTAAGATCTTTCAAATCTCACGGTCCAAATTAGACCTATTTGGCCAAAATGTTGTCCTCCTGTCTCTTTAATTCTGTCAATAACTCCTGCACAACCAGTGATCCCTTGTGGAGTGGGAGCAAGGAATTTCCTTGCATCATAAATGTCTGGCTACTCAGACAAGTTCCTTTAATAGTCTTGGGTGATTCTTTCATTCATTCATTGAAGTAAGTGAGGGATGCTCACATACTGAAATCAGGAAGCATTTTTTCACACAAAGAGTATTGGAAATTTGGAACTCACACCCCCAAAAGGCTGTGGATGCTGGATCCATTCAAATTTTCAAGACTGAGGTGGATAGATTTTTGTTATGTAAGGGGATCAAAGGATATGGGGCAAAGCAGAGTAAATGGAGTTGAGCTACAGATCAGACATGATCTAATAGAACAGGCTCGAGGGGTTGAAAGGCCTCCTGATGCTAACACAGAGGTTTAAAGCAGAAAGGGTTCCTATGAACCCCTGTGTTAGCATCAAGAAATCACAGTGTTGTTTAGATGCCCAATTGAGCAGTCCCTTGTGCATTGCCCAACTGAGTGTTCCCAAGTCAGGATGGCAAGAGTTAAATGTAATGCAAAATTCACTCAGCAAATTTGAGATAAAGTGTTCCTGGCTCAAATACAGCAGTTGAGAGGTTCACATAAAAAGCTCTGGCCCATCAAACACTCCCAGGTCAAGGTTGTACCTGTTACATGCATTGTAAAGTGCTTTTTACACTATTCCACAAAATACACACACAGGTCAAGGATAGCACATCTTCAATGCAAAGTAAAGCTATTTTGACACTACTTAACACAAGGACTCCCAGGTCAAGGGTAGCACAGGTTGGCACTCTCTATTCTGTCCCACTAAATATTTGCAGGCTAAGTATTGCACAGTTTGGCCCAGTAAAACTGGCTGTACTCAGTCCCACCTCACCAATTAATATCAGGTCAGAAATCGCACAGGATATGTCTCTCTCTCCCACCGTGTCTATGGAATCCTGTAGCGTAGTGGTCTCGTAAATGAGAGGACCTGGGTGAGGGGGCAAAGCATTAGGCTTACTCCAACATTAGGCTTGCTTATGTTTCCTTACTCCACATGCCTCTGTTTACGTAACAGTAAGTAGGAACCCAATTGTTAGTCGACTGGCGGATCTTACATCAAACCTATTAGCGCAACCCAACTCGATCTATTACCTTCAGGTCTGGAATACGTTAATGAGATCACCTTTTAATCTTATTATCTTTAGACTGGCTCAAGCAAGCACTCACTCATCCTTGGGTCTGAGCTCCTTAACCTGGTTCCAGATATGATCATAACTGCACATTACACTGTAAGGTGCAGATAAAAATGATTTGCCAGTGTCTGCCAACATCCCCCTGACACAGTATACGAGCATCAGAAAAGGCTGACTATAAATAGGATCTTATACAAATATTGAAGTCCTTCGTTATTCCACAACTGTTTGTGGGACACTGCTGTGCACAATTGGCCTCTTGTGTTTCTCCCACAAAATATACAATCAATTCACTTCACAGTATTTTCTGTGAAGCGCATTGAGACGTCTCAACGATGTGAGAAGGCACTTTATCAACTGCAAGGATTATTATTATTGTTATTATTATTAAATGGACTGAAGGGCCTTCTTCAGCCAAACCTGTCCAGTTACCTCTTGTGTTAGAGGGTGGATTGATGGACGATCAAGCGAGAACCAATTCAGATTAGGAAGCACTACGTGTATCGCTTGTCTATATCCCGGCATTATTTTATAATAAAACACCTTGGTCAGATCAGCTTTCTCAGCTCCAAAGAATGTAATACTAATCGTTCTTTTCTTTGTGTTCCTCTCTCTCTTTTTCTCTCTCTCTTACTCTCTCAGGTACTACAAGCCCTCTGTGGTGGTCATGTGTTTCCTGGTTCCCACATTGATCCCCTGGTACTTCTGGGGTGAGTCGGCCTGGAATGCCTACTTCATTGCCTCTATCCTGCGGTACACCCTGGTACTGAATGCGACCTGGCTGGTGAACAGTGCCGCCCACATGTTCGGCAACAGGCCCTACGACAAGTTCATCAACCCCCGGGAGAACCGATTTGTCGCCTTTGGGGCAATAGGTGAGCGAGCATGTCGCGTTAGCACCTACACTTTAATCTCCTTCTCCCAAACGATAATGTGTGATTATTCTTTGTGGTTAAAATCTTTTGCTGTGTTTACCTCTGCCCCTTGATCAGACAAGCCTCAGGTAGTCTAAGCTGACACGACAATGCAGTGCTAGGGGTATGTTAGATTCTCGGAGGAGCCGTCCTTCACTCTCAAAAACCCAGGCCTGCAAATACAATACAAACAATAAATTATAATCCTTGCATTTGGTATTTGCCTTATGACATCGTCAAAGATGTCTCCAAGTGCTTCACGGGATATACTGGAAAGTGGTGTGACTGTATTATGGGTGAAAATTGACATTTATATACGCCTTTCATGTCGGGAGAACGTCGCAAGGTAATGGCTTGGCATCTGAACTGGTGATGGGAGTTGGGGAGAGGAAAGATAATTGAAAGCGCAGTCAAAAGAGGTAGGTCTGTTGACCTCCTTTACATAGAGTATCCTAATGGACTCTATCCTCGCCAGGATTTTTATTGTGTGCAGATTTTCATCCATTTAAGGGATTGCTTCCCAGTGACCCCATTGTACTCACAGTGTTTAGTTTGCAGGTTATTATGTATACAGAGGAAATTACATGAGTCCTTAACTGTAACTAACAACAGTGAGAAAGATCACTGAATCATCTATAGGCTTTTCGATGATTAGTTAGTTACATGTTTAAGAACACCAGTAATTCTCTCCATCCAAGTGTTTGCAGATGGTATGCACAGCCCGCAAATTGGTTCCACTGTTAAACACAAGTAAAATCGGAAACAACTACATTTCCTGTGACCGTTACATTAATTTCCAGATAATTTGTTTTTGATCAACCACATAACTTGCTATTGTCATGATCATAATACTTATTTTAAGTGAAACGTTAATTTAGATGCCATTTGGATTATGATTATTGGGTACGTAACAACCTATGTGGTATTGGCTGGTCAGACTCCAGCAATTACCCCAATGCGCACTCTAGGGGGCCCAAGCCTTGGCTCTGGCCAATCTGAGCCTAATACTTTCTGGAATTAGGTAAGAAGGATGTGTCCCTCCAGGGAGAGATGGCACATTCCATTCCAATAAATGTCTCTGGAATTTCCAGGTGTAGGTGGGATGCATGGAATTCTCAGCTTTGGATACTCTTAAGCACGGTGATCGGTTTCCGCATGTGCCACACACTCCATGGCTGTTTGTGGAACATTGCTGTGTGCAACTGGCTGCCGCTTTTCACTCACAAAATACAGTCAATTCACTTTACAGTACAGTAAACCTCACATAAGTCGTATCAGTTGGACCATACATTTAATGACTTATGCAAAGTATGAGTTATGTCAAACCTGCGTAAAATAGAAACTCTTGAACAGGACTTAGGCAGGCGCAGGTGTTTAGACGATTTATACAGATCAGACTTATGCGGGTTTTTACTGTGAAGCACTTTTGAGACGTCGTGACGACTTGATAAGGCACTACATCAAATGCAAGGATTATTATTAACACAGGAGGTGAGAGCCAGAGCGTTTTCGGAGTAATGAAGCAAGCGTGGGTTGCTTGTTCTCTCAGTGTGGATAACCGGGTTGTCGTCGTTTACAGGGGAAGGATTCCACAATTACCACCACACCTTCCCGTACGACTACTCCACCAGCGAATACGGCTGGCGTTTCAACATCACCACCTGCTTTATCAACTCGATGTGTTGGCTGGGACTGGCCAGTAACTGCAAAAGTGTGTCCAAGGAGGTGATTGTGGCTCGGCGGATGAGGACTGGGGACCGCAGTGTACGGAGTGGCTGAGTGCTGAGCCCCGGTGAGCACACTGTCAAAACGAATACAAAAAAAAACCCGACTCCTAGACGCTTCCCCGAATGCCAAAGACGCCACCACTCAAAATGTCAGTGGCTGCCGTTCAAGGCGACAGCTCATCAGCAACGTGCGATGGAATCCTTACACGAACAAAATAATCAGCGTCCGATCCATTTTGCGGGGCAGTTTAAATGGGCGGCAGGCAAAAAAATTAAATAATTTTTAGTGGGACAGCTTTTAATGTTACGCTTAATTGTCAAAAACACCAGATGTGTTCGTTCTGAGCATTGGAATTAACATCTCGCTGAATGGTGATCTTTGGAGTCATTCAGTGTCTCACTTTCCTCTCCCAGCCCAATCACCACTCCCCCCCCCCCCCCCCCACCACATCGCTCCCCCCTCCTTGCCTTTTTACCAGTGTATTCCAGTGTTAGCATTCTGAGCCCGTGGGTGGGTGGGAATTACCCCATCCCCACCCCATCCCCTGCCTGCTCTCCCCCACCCCACCCCAAAGATTGAGTGCTCCCTCTCTTGGCGAAGAGGCATAATCCTGGAGGGAGATGGGAGTCAATGGGATAATTCTGAAACATTTAACAGAGTGAGGGGAAGGGGATGGGGAACAAAACCAAGAGGGAGATTTCGTGGGTGGGGGTGGGGGAGAGTGAGGGGGATTAACAGCACGTAACGAGAGGTCTGGTGCTTCTTTACAGCTGAGTGCTTCCAGCACACAATGTACGAGTTAATGATCGGAACGCTTTCAAATTTCGGTATCCCATCGCCACCTCCCATCCGTGTTTCGAATCGCCCTCTGACTCTTGATTGGCAGTCCGGTCAACGCCTCCAGAAATGCCAGCAGTCACTCCCCCACCCCCATTTCCTTCTTCATTTGTACTCTCACAGTAAAAAAAAATGCCCGTCGCAAAGTTCACTTTCCTTTTCTTGCGTTGAGCATTTTATTTCAATGTTGTTCCCTATCGTTCCTTCTCCTCCCCAAACCCCCCACTCCTTTCCTGTTTCTGTCCATCTCCTCCTCTGTCATTGCCTTTCATTAATGTAGAAATCAAATTAATTTAACTAAAATCCAAGATTATAGCCCAATTGTTTTGTAAGAGAGAGAGCGCGGGAAAGATGCACAGTTGTTGTGTGTGTGAAATGTGAGGCTGTGGATGTGTGTGTGTATGGAAGATGTGAGAAAGATGTGTGTATGTGCATGTGTGAGAGATATGAGAGTGTGTGTGTGTATGAGCAAGAGAGATGTTAAGACAGTCTGTGTATGTGAAAGAAATGCAAGACTCTGTGTGTGTGTGTGTGTGTATGTGTATATATATATGTGTATATATATATATATATGGGGATGCGAGGCGGTGTTTGTGAGAGAAAGGGAGGACAGTCAGAGTGCGGGGAAGAGTGAAGGATAGAGGAAGTTATCAATACTGTACTTGTAACACTATCAAAACAGAATATTATTGTTACATAGTAGCCACTTTGCACCAAAATAGAGAGTGTGTTGGTGAGCAGGATGATGGATACACACACACAAAATCTGCTCCAGCTGTAAACACCCGGTTGATCACAGGTGTCCAGTACAGGATTCCCGTGGCGTACATTGAAATGATCAGAGCATTGCTGTGATTTTGCATTGGTTGTAAGACTGGGAGGTCTTTGAGCTATGTGGTTCGACTGCTGTGTAATAAATTAAATGATCATTTATAAATTAAAACCAGCTTTCTTTTTTTGAAAAAATTGTGCAAATCACTGCTTAGAGCCAAAGTACGGCCCATGTTATATGTACAGGTGTGAGTGAGTGAGCGAGGGAAGGAGTGAGTGAGAGCGACAAGCGACGACTGAGAACAGGGAACAGGTTGCTTATCCTATTAGTTGGTTTATCCAGCGGATACAACGGGAGGCAGAAGCATAATGTGGAATCCCGTAGCATAGTGGTTAGCAATTCGCCTCAAAAGCGAGAGGACCCGGGTTCAATTCCGGGGCAGGGTGAAGTCTTTGGCAAGCTTTCTTACTCCACCTCAGTTTACCTAGCAGGAATTCGGATGTCAGTCGTCTGGCAGATCATTTTCTGGGGGTAATGATCGCTTTTTTAAAATGTGGTCACCCAATCCATGACTGTCTGTGAGACACTGCTGTGCACAATTGACTGCTGCATTTCGCCCACCAAATCAACTTTACAATATATTCTGTGAAGTGCTTCGAGATTTCTCAACAAATAGAGCTACATCAAATGCAAGGATTATTATTATCACAGTCCGTTAGAGAAAATGCCCAACACATGAACCAAAGTTTGTTATTTAGTATCTTATTTCCTGAGAAACCACAGCGAAATAGCTTGTTGTATTATAGCCCCCTAATTCTGTTTATTAGGATTTTAGCTGTCATATTGCATCTGGTGCAGTCAAATCCCTGATTCAGAGTAACCCCCTCCTCTCACACCCAGATCAGCCAGTGCACCGTTCCTTACACCTTATCTTCCTTAGCTGGGAGTAATAATAATCCCTCCAACATAAATAAATGAATAAATAGATAGTTTGGTCACTCAATCCACGTTTGTGGGACACTACAATTGGCTGCCTGCATTTCGCCCACAAAATACAGTCAATTCACTTTACAATACATTCTGTATGTCTCATCGACGTGGTAAGCACTATATCAAATGCAAGGATTATTATTATTTATTATTATTATTATCCCAGAGTATTAATAATAATCCTTTGCAGAATAGACTGTAAAGTGAATTGACTGTATATTTGTAAGCAAAATGTGGCAGCCAATTGCGCACAGTGTTGTCCCATGAAGAGTCATGGATTGAAGCGACCAATTATTGCGGNTTTTTTTTAGAGATATCAGGCGTTGTGGAGTAAGGAAACTTGCCCAACGTTTCCCCCTGCCGGGAATCAAACCCAGGTCTCTTGCTTGTGAGACGAATGCTCTGACCACTGAACTGTTAGTAGATTGCTGTGATGGTGAATATTGGTGAAGCTGTGGCTGGGGTGAAACTGACACAAGTGGGGAAGGCCCCTAGGTTCAATCTGTGCTGGTAGCAAATAGCCAGAGTCAGCCCGCTCGGAGAGGAGAGACGGGTGGGTTTGTGGAGTGGGGAATGGGGTAAAATCAAAGGGAGACGTACAAATTCAGACAAGAAATTTGAGCCAATCTGTGATTCACACATTTGCATATTAGACACTCATATCTGACTGACTGTGGCTTGTGTGTGTTGGCCATTGAATTGCAGGATTGTGGCTCAGTGTAGTGTAAAGCCACTGAATCACTGCACACTGTAGTGACCCTGCATTTCTCTTGCCATCATGCAGACTCCTGCCCCACGACTGTACATGAAGATAGTGTCCAAACCAGACCGGAGCCCAAGACATTGTCTAGACGACATCCTGGGAGACTAACTGGACTGTGCTTAGCGGCTGCAACTACTAAGTGTGGAGTCCTGCAGTGTATTGGTTAGCACACTTGCCTCGCAAGCGAAAGGATTTGAATCCTAGGCAGGGTGAAACATTAAGCAAGTTTCCTTACTCCACACGCCTCTGTTTACCTAGCAGTAAGTAGGAACCCGGTTGTTATTCGATTGTCGGATCACTTTCCCGGGGGTAATAATCGTCACTCAATCCACAACTGTGTGGGACACTGCTGTGCGCAATTGGCTGCTGCGTTTTCCCCACAAATATACTTTACGCTATATTCTGTGAAGTGCTTTGAGATGTCTCGTAGATATGATAAGGCGCTATATCAAATGCAAGGATAATTATTAACTGTACTGTATCTAGAACTAAAGTAGTACTCAACTACTTTAGCTGTCATACTGCATCTGGTGTCGACAAGTCCATGATTCAGAGTACACCCAGAGTAAGCCTCTCCTCTTCACACCCAGATCAACCAGTGCACCATTCCTTACACCTTACCTTCCTTAGCTGGGAGTAATAATCCCTTCAAAATAAATTAAAAATAGTTTGTTCACTCAATCTATGTTTGTGGGACACTGCAATTGACTGCCTTGCCTGTGCTTCGCGCACAAAATACAGTCAATCCACTTTACAATACATTCTGTATGTCTCAACAACGTGTTAAACACTATATCAAACGCAAGGATTATTATTATTAATTATTATTATCCCAGAGTATTAATAATAATCCTTGCATTTGATGTAGAATTCACAGAATTCTATATCAATTACAAGGAATTCACAGAATTCTATATTCTTCACAGAATAGACTGTAAAGTGAATTGACTTTATATTTGTGAGCAAACGCAGCAGCCAATTGCTACGACTTTAAACTACTTTATACCAAACTCAGTGACTATACTGTATCAGTGACAATGCTGTACCCAGACACAATGTCTGTAAAGAGCGATACCAAATAGAAGGGATGCTTCTATTTGGTGTCTTAAGGATTCAGTCAGCGGACGGGAGGAAGATGTGTGTGCTGGCTTCAAGTTCAGCATTGAATGGAGTGGGGCGTCAGAGAGAGCTTTAGAGTCTATACGCAACAGGAAGTTAGTTTTTCTTCTTGCACTAAATGCATCTGTTAAGAGTTTCTAATAGAAAGCAGTATTGTATTGTGCACAGTATTAACGAATTTTGTCCAGATATAAACACAAAAAAATAAAAATCCAACATTTTGGAAAGTGGTTGGGTTTCTGAGATGAAGCTTTTCAGTCATGTCCAAATTGCTTAGTAACTAACATCACTGTGTCTCAATGCACATTCCTCTGTTTACCTATAGAATTATACAGCATAGAAGGAGGCCACTCGGTCCATCGTGTCTGCTCCGGCTCTTTGAAAAGAGCTATCCAAGTCAATCCCACTCCCCGCCCTCTCCCCATAGCACTGCAAACTTGTCCTCCCCAAATAATTATCTACTTAGCTGTAAGTAAGAACCCTAGTTGTTAATCAATTGGAGGAAAATTATTTTCCTTCAAAAAATATTCATGACTGTTTGTGGGACACTCCTGTGTGCAATTGGCTGTCATGTTTCTGGCACAAAATATACAGCCCATACCCACGGTGGCATCAATCTGTGCGAGAGGTCCCTGATTCAGGAACGTCCAGCCTCGAGCCCATCCTACATTGGATATAATCCTGTTATCCCTTCACAAGCACTGAAATTGCTGCCATGAAAAGAACAGGCAATTCTCAAAGCATCTTTGCCTCTGCCCCAGCTCCGCACCACACACCCTGGCAAAACTCACTCTAACTACTCGGGAGGTGCACCAGATTGGGGTGGGTGTTGGTAGTTGGCTTGAAATGGGTGCCTTCAGGAGGGATTGGATGCAGAGGAGATTGGTGATAGGAGAGGGTGGGGGGGGGGAGTGGGAGATGGTGGTGTCCAAAGGCCAACCCATGTTGCACATTGGAATAAATCTTATGAGAATCTACAAAGTGTGTATGACTGTGAGAATGAAAGGGCCACAATTTGGCGGATGGGATGGGATGGGGGGTGGTGGTGGTGGGAAGTTGGTTTTCTTAAGTGGTAAACGGTTGTTCCTATGAGCTATGTGGAGATATGAAGTGCTCTGTCCCAACATGACTGTACAGGCGGAATCATTGGGTGTGTTTACAACAACAACTTGCATTTATATATATATATATATATCACGCAGGGTAGTGTCTAGGAGTGGCTAACAGTGGCGGAGCCCCATTCCGAGCCTGGGAGAAGTGACTGTCGGCACAGTCAAAGAGGAAGGTCTTAAGGTGTGATCCAAAAATGGGGAAAGAGGTGACAAGGCCAAGCCCACTCTGGTGATGTGTCTGCTCTGAGCAACATGGGGGAATGATGGGGGAGGAGAATAAAGAAGTTTAACTGAACTGTTGGCTGGTCAGGGAGGTTTCCGCCGCTGCTCAACTCCAAAAAGCCGGGGGAGAGGGGTGCGTCGTCAAGACTTGCCCCCTGGTGGTAAGCGTTGGTGAGAGGCATGAATGAGGCTCAGAAGTCTCTGAAGGGACACTTCCTACTTACCTAATTCCGGAAAGTATTAGACACAGGTTGGCAAGAGCCAAGGCTTGGGGGACTGCTGGAGTCTGAACAGCTGAAACCGCAGAGCTTGCCGTTGAGAGCACTGTCTGGCAAGGCTTTCCCCTCTGCTTGTCCAGCTTGGACCACACTACCCATTGGGGCTTAGCATTAGCTAGAGATGTAAATGGGACTCGGGTCCATCCCTGGGGCAGGAATTTCTTAAACGGAGACAGGGTCAGTATCTGCCCTGGGCCGATCCCCAGAATTGGGCAAGGACCCTGTTGTGTGATATCCTGTGTGCTTTTTGAGATTTTCTTTTTTTTTAAAAGCATTGCCGGACTTTTCAATGAAGCAAGCATGAGTTTGAGCGTGTAACCCCTCCATCTCTTTCTTTCTCTCTGCCTCTCCCCACCAAACTCCTTTCTGTGTCTCTCCCTCCCTCCCTCTCGCTCTCTTTCTCTCCCCCTCCCAAAATCTTCTCCCCGTCTCTCTGCCTCTCCTCTCCCTAATCTCTTCTCTCAGTCTCTCTCTCTCTCTCTCTCCCTCCCCACCCCCAATTCGCTCTCTCCCTCCTCTTTCTCTCTAGAAATTGGATCGAGAATTCATTTCCAACAGTAAAAAGCTGTAAAATGGAAATTGTTTGAGCTGAACACACTTAGTGGGATAAACAGAAGAATATGAACTATGAGTGAAGTGATTTGTTCCTTGTTTGGTGACAGAAAAAAAAGTCTCCTCTCCTGCCCAACCCCCACCCCCCACCCCACCACCCACTGGCACATTCAGCCATTAATGTTTTTACCATTTTGTGTGTGACGTGAACTGAAAGAAATAAAATATATTGAAGCAAAAAAATGATCAAGTCTTTTTCCTCACTGAGACTTTTCCTCGCGCTGTCTCGCCCGAACCACGGATAGAACTATAACAATCCTAAGGTTTGACATGGCACCTTATACAGGAAACTCCTGATAACTCGACACTGGCTTAACTGGTCACTACCACTTAAGTCATCCTGTTCCCAACAACCTTGCGTTTGATATGGCACCTTATCACACTTCTCAGTTTTCTGTTTCCCCCAGCACTGCAATAGAGTGTCAGCCGAGACAAAGTCGCAACATGGGGCTTGAACTCACAATCTGCTGTCACAGAGATGAAGGTGCTACCAATTGAGCCAGGCTGACACCTACAGCCTGCATTGTATATAGATTCCTTCACATGGTACCATGTCTCGGAGCACATCACAATGATGGGAGTCGTAAGGGAGGGAGATCAATCATTGATGCCTATAGGTGTGGTAGAAGAGGTAGGTTTTTAAGATGATATTTAAACATGGATAGAGAGGAGGAGAGATGGAGACATAGCGGGACGGAGTTCCAGAGATTGGCAAACAACAATAATGCTTGGGCAGCAGATAAAGGAGCAATAAAGCATTATCTTAATTATGTGCTGTATAATAATAATTATCCTTGCATTTATTATAGACTCCTCAAGGCATTCACAGAATATTTTGTGAAGTGGTTTCATTTATGTATTTTTTGGGTGAAATGCGGCAGCCAATTGAGCACAGCAGTGTCCAACCAACAAGCGTGAATTGAGTGACCGAAATTTTGTTTTGAGGAATTATTGGCCCCGAAAAGCGATCTGCCAATCGACTAACAATTGGATTCCTACATACTGCTGGATAAACAGAGGCGTATGGAATAAGGAAACTTGCCGAAAGTTTCACCCTGCCCGAGAATCAAACCTGGGCCCTCTCGCTTCTAAGGCAAGCACGCTGAAAGCTCAGCTACCATGCTCTATATACACACACACAGGCTGCAGACACGCAAGGCAATATACCTACAGGATATTTCCACCGGTGAACCAGTGACAAGAGAGCACCAGTTAAGGATGACCACAAAAAGAATTAAAGGGCAGGTCAGGTGGGCTGGAATGTGAAATTCTTCGCCCCAAACCATAAACACTAAAATCCTAAAATAATCCAAAAGAAAATGTACAGACAATGGAAATCTCAGACATCTTAAGCATGGTGATGGGTTTCCGCATGATTCAGATACCCAACTAATTCCACCACAAATACATACATCTTCCACCTATAACTGAAGAGGAAACTAAGTAGATTTTCCCTTTCTTAAACTAGCGAGTACTGAGGACAATTGAAGCACTCCAAACAGTGCCCTTATCCATTAAGTTATCTTTTCCTTTGGTTTAGTATTTCACTCATGTTCTATTTTCTGTCACCTTTGAATATCCAAATCGCAACGTAAACCTAGTGCTAGCCTGGTTCAAGTCAGTCACGCTCTCGCCTCTGGGTCAGATGATTCTGACTTCAAGCCCTATATATGTATTGTATAATAATAATCCTTGCATTTGATATAGCGCCTTATCATATTGTCCAGATATCTCAAAGCGCTTCACAGGATTCACTGTAAAGTGCTGTGACTGTATACTTTGTAGGAGAACGCAGCAGACAATTTGCACGTAGCAAAGCCCGACAAACTGCCATGAAGTGAGTTTCCCTTGGCGGATTGTTGGCCAGGACACCAGGAGAGAGAAACTCCCTTCTTGAAGCTTGAATAGTATAGACGATTGCTCAGTTGGAACACTGGGAGGGAAGGGGGGAATAGAGCACTGCATTGTTGGGGAAGCCATCCTTTGAATAAGACTTTAAACCATCTGCCCATTCAGGCTCGCATTAAAGACTCTGATGACACTATTGGAAAAGAGAAGGCAGTTTTTCCCAATGTCCTGACCAACAATCCTCCAGATAAAATTGGTTATTCACTCATTGGTCATTAGCTGGAGTTAGATTAAAAGATCAGCCGTGATTGAAAGGTGGGGCAGGCTCGAAGGGCCTACTCCTACATGTTATGTTATGTGATGTTTATGGCTCTTCATGGGACTTTGTTGAGTACAAATTGATTGCTGCAATTGCCTACAAACACAGTGTCAGCAATTCCTTATGAAGAGGTATCAGACTTCGATGCTATAAATACTCTGTAAAATAATAATAAATAAACAGACCAATAAATAAACAAACAATTATCATTAGTACTGATTTAAGGCAGTTTGTCTTGTTCTGATATGGACAAGATTATGGTGCCATTCAGCACAAAAACAAACAGCAATAAAGGGAACACTGTAATATCAGAAATAAATGCTTACAGTTAAAGAGGCAATAAAATACTAACTTAATCTCAATTATGCCTGTGTAGAGCTGGGGGTATCTGGCTGCTCTGTGGACATCTTGGACTGAACAAAGGCCATCGTCCAATAGTTGATCAACTAGTGACTCATCTCCTTGGGGGGGTGGGAGGTAAGCGGAGTCTCCTTGGTGTTGAGCTGGCTCCAAGGTGACATCTTTGACAATTCAGCACTCCCCAGCACTGTCAGCCTATGAGCTCAAAGCTCTGACATGGGGCTTGAACCCTCAACCTTCTGACTTGAGGGCAAGAGTGCTACCGACTGAGCCAGGTTGACAACTTTCAGTAAAGCCTTCCTGTAACTAGTGGAGATTATTGGATTAGGGACCTGAATCTAGTTAGACATTTAGAGATAAGGATCTTTATCTGGGAGAGATAAACTGAAGACTTTCACTAGGTTTCACAACGTGTATTATGTGGCCAGATCTCATGGTTACACTCCCCCTCTCCCCTCAGGCAGGTTGGAGTCCAAAGGAAATCACACTTGTGCAGAAAACACTGGACTATAACCGTAAACTTTCAGATCACTCCTTCAGATAAATAACATTCCTCGCATTTCATACCCTATAAACCTTTATTTGTCTCAATGTGCGCCATAAGGAATTAGTGTCAAGTGTAATTCTTAGGCAAATGTGACAGTCAATTTGCACATAGCAATGTCCCACAAACAGCCCTGAAGTGAGTGATCAGTTTTATCTGGGGTATTGTTGGCCAGGATACCAAGAAAGAGAAACTCCCTTCTCTTTTCGAATAGTGCAACAGGATCTTTGATGTCCACCTGAACAAGCAGGTACGATGGAACCTCGGCTTAATATGATAGCACCTCCAACAATGCAACTCACCACCCCCACCTACCCCCAGGACAGTATCAGAGTGTCAGCCTAAACTGGGAGCTCAACGGCACCAATGGCGGATTACAACCAACCACCTTCTGACCCAGAGGCGAGAGCGCTGGCGAGTGAGCAACAGCACAATGAACAATAAATTAAATTTATATAGCGCCTTTCACATTGCAAGGAATACCCAAAGCACTGGGCAGTTCATGGTTTGCACGTGAGTTGGGTGTTAGAATCAAGCAGGGTGGGAGGGTGGCCGAAGGCACGGTCAAAGAGGAGGGTCTTGAGATGGGCTTTATTTTTTTCAATTTCATTTTTTTTTGGTCAGCCGGGTGTCTGACATATGTGGAAACCCATCACCGTGCTTAAGAGTATCCAAACCAAACTGAGATTTCCATCCATCCAACCTACACATATCCACTCTCTCCCTGGAGGAACGCATCCTACTTACCTAATTCCAGAAAGTATAAGGTGTACTTTGGCAAGAGCCAAGACTTGGGGACCCCAGAGTGTGCGTTAGGGTAACTGTTGGAGTCTAACCAGCTACAACCACATAGCTTGCCATTGATATCATATCTGGCAAGCTTTCCCGCTGCTTTTGCAGCTAGGACCACCCTACCCATTAGGACTTTGACTTGCAGGGTTAACAGAACCTGAGTGGGATGACTTCCTTCCACAGTGACTGGTCTGCCCTTCCAGGTCCTGCTGAGAAGCCAGGCTTGACCAAACTACTGAGACTGTCACAGAGGGCTGGCTTGATTTTGACATTTCATTCCTAGGCATGTCACCTTGGAGCCAGTTCAGCTCCACTTAATGGGCCTTAAAGGAGGCGAGGGAGAGGGCAAGGCAGAAGGATTCCGGAATGCAGCTCCAGTGGGTAGGGGCAGAAAAGCCAAAGGCCTGACTGCTGATGGTGGGCGGTCCACCCAGGTACAGGAGAACATCCATCTGGACCCATCCCCCTCCCTTATGAATCACTGCCTTCAAGCGAGGAGGGGGAGGGGTGGCTCTAAGACTTAGCAGTGCAAGAAACAGAGCTGCGACTGTGTTGGTTGGAACTGGCCTCTGCAGACTGAAGGAGGCCCCTCTCTCTCTCTTTAATTTGGCCGTCACTGACTCTGACTGGTATGTCTCGGAGGTTACTTACAGTCACTGGACTGACCACGTGCCTCTCAGTGCAGGAAACCGCACACACAGAAGCTGCTTCTACTTAGAGAACTATCCAGGGGAAAGTTCACAGGGTCGGGGGTGGGGTTGAAGAGAGGTGGGGTGGAATTGACAGGCAGACTGGCTTCTAAGAACGAGGTAATGTTTCACAATGGTCTGTGTTGTAACAAACAACGAGCTTACTACCAACGGCTCGGGCTAAAATAGCCTTTGCCTCAGTAATCCCAGACACGTCCTATTGCCTAGGAAACTGGCAAGGAACAGAACTCAGGGAGGGGGAAGGACGGCATCAGCTGGTCTGACTCTGCCCATATCACAGGGACTTTCAGGGCTGCAGGAGGGGTGAAAGATTGCATTTTTCTTCCCCATTCAGGACTTTAGTTCAATTCACGTTACAGTATATTCAGCAGCAAGTAGGAATCCGGTTGTTAGTCGATTGGCAGATGGCTTTCCGAGGGTAATTATCCCTAAAAAAAAATTGGATCACACAATCCACATCTGTTTGTGGGACACTAACTGGGTGAAATTGGTTGCCATGTTTCGCCCACAAAATACAGTTAATTCACTTTACAATATATTCTGTGAAGCGCTTTGAGATGTCTAAATGACGTCTTGCATTTGATAGGTGCGACTTCAAATGCAAAAATTATTAAGAGATTATGTTAGTAAGAGATCCAACAGGGAGTTTGGGAGGAACTTCTTCATGCAGATGGTGGCGAGAACTTGGAAGCAAATACATTTATGTATTTAAGAGGAAATTCGATGATGACGTGAGGAAGAAGCTACAGGAGAAGGAAAAAAAGAGGGTTAAGGGCCTGTGTGGAATATAAACTGGCAATGGGCTTTTGTTTCAGTGCTATAGTGTTCTCTTAAGCTTCACAAATGAGTCTTAAGTGTCCTGGCCTCAACCACCCTTCCTGGTAACATTAATTTCCCTCTGTGTAAGGCGATGCTTCCAAACCTAGCCACGAACCAGCTTGTCCATCTTGAATATTACAGTATAATATAATGTGTAGTCCTGTAGCTTAGCAGTGAGAGCACCCGCCTTGCAAGCAAGTGTTCGATTCCCATGCAGGGCAAAATGTTGGGCAAGTTTCCTTACTCCACACGCCTCTGCTTACCTAGCAGTAAGTAGGAACCCGGGTGTTAGTCGACTGGTGAATTGCTTTTCGTGGTAATAATCCCTTAAAAAAAATTTAAAATAATAATTTGGTCACTCAATTCATGACTGTTTGTGGGACACTGCTATGTGCAATTGGCTGCCGAATTCCGCACACAAAATATACAGTCAATTCACTTTACAGTATATTCTGTGGATCGATTTGACATGTCTTGAAGACGTGATAAGGCACTATATCAAATGCAAGGATTATTATTACTATTATTATTACAGGGAGAGACTGAACACTGGAGAGAGGCTGCATTTAACCTGCAATGTAGTTTCAAACAGCAGCTATATTTTAGGGCAAAAAACTATAAGGTAAGTCCCATGATAAGACCCCCCACCCCACACATCATGGTCAGTTGGTAAAGCCTCTGGAACTCCATGCCTCTACCCCTCTCTCTCCCTTGCCCTGTCTTCAAATCCCTCCTTAAAATCTACCTCTTCAACCACACCTATGTTCATTTCTCCCCTGTTTAGTGTCCAACCTCATCACTGCCATATGCTCAGAGATGTTAGCCTACAAAATAAAAGGTGATATGTGAATGGAAGCTGTTGTAGTAAACCTCAGTCACACAGACTGTTCATATCCAAGCTTCACACCAATTGGCCTTAGTGGTCTCATCACTCCTCAAGTTAGACAGAAGGTTCTCACTTCTGATCACAGTCCATTGAATCCCTCCATCACCCCTCCCTTGGAGATGTGGGTGAGAAGGGGTTGGATGAAGGCAGAGTTGGTATGGTGTGATGTTATATGATGTGGTGTGGTGTGATGTGTCATTCCTTCCCCTCATGGCCAATTAACTCATTGACACTCCCTTAATTATAACCACAGAGCTACAGATCCTGTATGGCCATAATAATAATAATAATCCGTGCATTTGATATAGGATTTTTCACGTCTTCTAGACGTCTCAAAGCGCTTCACAGAATATACAGTAATGTGAGTTGACTATATTTGTGGGCAAAATGTGGCAGCCAATTGTGCACAATAGTATCACACAAACAGTCATAGATTGCTTGACTAAATTATTATTGGTTTGTTTTTGAGCAATTATTACCACTGGAAAAGCGATCCGCCAATCTAACAATTGGGTTACTACTTACTGCTAGGTAAACAGAGGCGCGTGTGTGTGGAGTAAGGAAACTTGCTCAACATTTTACCCTGCCCGGAATAGAACCTAGGTCTCTCGCTTGCAAGGCGAGCCCTCTAACCATTGAACTACAAGACAACAGGTCATAGCAAAATAACAGCCCTGCTCTCTAAAACAGTCCTCTTTAGATGAAGGTTTCGAATGACCAGTGCACCCTCAGACTTCCATTATGAATAGGAAGGTGTCAGTCTGGCTCAGTGGTAGCACTCCCGCCTCCAGATCAGAAGATTGTGGGTTCAAGTACCATGTCAGGACTTTGAACTGATATAATCGAGGCTGACACTCCAATGCAGCGTTGGTGTGCGCTCCATTGTCGGAGGTGCCGTCCTTTGGGTGAGACCTTAACCCAAGGTCCCATCTACCTGTTCAGATAGACCTTAAAGATTCCCCGGCACTATTCGAAAAGAGAAGGGAGATTCTCTCTCCCAGTATCCTGGCCAACAATCCCCCAAATGGAAAAAAAACTGGTCATTCACTTCGTGTCATGGCTGTTTGCGGGACATTGCTGTGTGCAAATCAGCTGCCGCATTCACCTCCAAATATTGTCTCTGTACTTTACAGTAAAATCCTGTGAAGTGCTTTGAGATGCTTCCTGATATGTGTGTGGGGGCAGGGACGGGGGTGGACGTGAGGTGAGTTGGAGGAGAAGTGGGGGAGAAAGAGGAAAACAGATTTTAAACAACAGCAATATATAAGAGTAATAACAGGTCCTGAGCCTGTTTGCAGCTGTTACACCTCACAACTCACTCCCATATTCCCAGCAGGAAGTCTCCGAGCACTCTTGCCAACGCATTCATTTCCCTTGCCCCTGGCCGATCTCACCACACCGCCCGCATTGCATCAGCAACCTGCAGGGTTACTGTTGGTCATTACTCGTAGGGCCTTGGTGTCGGACTGGCTGCCGAGCTCCTGACTAAGGCATGGCCAATTGCAGGAGGTTCCACTCTTGTCTGATTTCACTGAGCCAATTGGAACCAAAATGCTGGGTTGAAAAAAAACCCCACCAGGAAGTCATAAAGTTTTTCCCTCTCTCGCTATATGAATCAGGTGTTGCCTGTCCATCACATGGGGTGAGAGGCTGGTGACATACTATAGTCAGGTTATAAGTAATCGTGAGAAATGTTGTGGGAGGAAGGGACTGAGCACGTAGCGCTCGATTCAGATTATGATGATCCAGCATCGGTCACTGACTCAGCCCTGGAGCTGCTCACACCAGACGGGGCTCAGCCGGTCATTCATAGCAATAATAATAACCCTTGGCATTTGGTAGGGAGCCTTATACCGTAAAGTGAATTGACTGTATATCTTGTGGGTGAAATTCTCTGTGTGTTCGTTCTCTGGATACTGTTATTTGTTGCCAAATGACTGCTGGGCTGGTCTACCGTGCTGTCCACCTGAACGCTCTAACTTTTTGTCAGCAAGGATGTCTCAGCTCACAGCGATCAACTTCCGAGTCAAAACGTCTCATGGGTGAAGCCCCACAGAGTCAATTTGAGCTCAGTCTAAGCTGACGCTGTCGGAGGTGCCTTCATTGAGATGAGACGTTAAACTGAGGTCCCATGGACGATATTTAAAAAGAGAAGGGAGTTTCTCCTGGTGTCCAGAACAACAATCCTCCTTCATTCCCCCCCCCAAAAAA